AGGTGATTCGATAGACGCCATATTTTGTGTCAGAATTGCATGCGACATATCCCATCAATTGGTTCCATTTTTTCATTTACTCATCATTTTTCTCCAATTTTAAGTTTCGCAATTCTGTTTTCAGGAGACTAAAGCACTCACTTATCAATTTGTATATTTATATTGAGTTAAGGGTAGAGACGTATTCCTCACCGGAATTGAGGAATGGAGGTGTTACAGTAAGTCCGGCATTAGGTTCCATTTCGACATTAGCGACGCTCAACGCTACGATACTGGAAGCCAGTCTTCCGATTTTAAATCCCTAGCGGGGAAGAAAAAAAATGCCTAGATTTCGCTGAAAATCCCTAAATCCCCAGATTTGCTCAAATATACTTAAAAAATCCCTAGATTTTGCAAAAAGCGCCATTTTTAACGAAGAATCATGATGTCATTCGATGTAGCGATTTGCAATATTTAAATCTGATTGGCTCGTTTGAATTTTGGCGCTCTCTGAAAGCAGTGCTAATCCAGACCAATAAAATGAAAGAATATTAGTTGATTTCTTATTATTAACAGGTTGAATGCAGTTGAATGTCAAGTACATCGAAGGACGCAATCGTTTTAATTTCCGGCTTATTTGCGGGGAAAATAGTGTTGCCAAAAAGGCCTACAAAATATAGATGAAAAAATGTTTTCGATTGTCGAAGCTAGAATTGAGGTTAAAAAGTTGATTTGAAAGTAGAGTTGAAAGTAGATTTCCTGAAAAATCCCTAAATCCCTGAATGAGGGAGAAGGAAAAGTTGAAATAATTTTACTGGAAGGAGGGATAAATGAGGTACTCACCGAATTTATTCGTACAGAACATTCAAAAATCCCGTGAAAAAACAGCTCACAAATAAAAGCAAATTGCCATAGAAACTTCTTCACGAAATCACACACACAACGAAGAACGAGGCGCTACAGACGAGTCCGTCCAGGACAAGTTAAAAAATTCCCATGAGCCGAGTGCCGTAGGTTAAGGGCCCGTTCGCCAAAACTAATCGGAACTGTATGAATGAATTGCTCCTTTTAAAAATCAAAACAATATCGAATTGCGATATATTACACAGTTAAGGTAGGGCTATGTCCTGTCGTAAGCGGCGACATACAGTCGATATCATTTCAATAATCGCCCCAATGGCCACGATAGTTGTTAGACGTTTACGGTTTCCCTGGTAACCTTTGTTTGCTATCAGCTGATATCAAGTAATATGACTAGGAAGCTCCAACCCAGTGGTTAAAGCTTCCTTAACCGCGAAAACTTTAAAATTCAAATTTTCAAATTTTGAACGTAAAGTACATTTTTTCCATCACGAGATAAAAGCACAAACAAGTTTTGAATTGTTGACTGTATCACCATGATTCCAAAAATACAATACACAACATAGCATTGACTAACAATAAAACAGTATGCAATAAAATAAAGTCATGACAAGGAACATAGCCGAAAATGGCGCCGATTCCCATCAACCAACGCGCGGTCTCTACAATGTAACATGCTGCATTGATACTCCCCAGCTGGGACCGTCCGGAATAGCAGCTCTAGTGCAAGCACCAGAGCCGCTAACATGACTGTTATGTTGGTGAGTACAAAATAAATTTCGTTTCATGCATTTCGATGTTCAACTGCTTCTCCTCTACCAAATTTTTTCTGTCAATACACATACACAATCGATAATAGATTTAATGCATTTATGTATCTACAGTAGTTAGTATTCAAAGCTTGCCGCAATCGTACGTTGCTGATGATCTCATTCGCTATAAAATATTCCTGTTAGATATTCAATACGCGATGAATTTCACTTCTTGGTACATAGACGTAGCTAGGTTATTTTGCTAGGGAGGGCCTACCGATCTACCCTTCTTTCACTGAAAGGTCTAGGAAGAATGGAATACCCCCTAGTTTTGAGGCGGTCCGAGGAAATTTTTGAAATTTGAACACCATTCATACGTATTTTGAGGTTGCCACTACGCAGGTTTTCCATCAATTTCTGTGAAAAAGTTACGTTTTTTAAACTTTTAGCACACAATACAAAACATTCTTCTAAATTGCTACATTCTACAGATTCGGAAAATTTTTAATGTTTGAACTCTATTATTGATGTTCCCTTGAAGCAGATTTATCATCAATTTCTGCGGAAAAATTTCGCTGTTCTCTTACTTTCGGCATAAAACAATTACAAACTGTTAGGTTCATCAGACCCAGAAAATTTTTGAAATTTTAATTTTATTTAGACGCATTTTGGGACTTCCATTATACAAATTTTAGAAAACATGAGCTAAATGTGGACGCTGTTTTCATTCAAAATTACATTAAAATAGATTAAAATATCCTTGACGAAGGTTTTTTCCACCATCTAGAATTTCTGAGGGGAGGAGGGGGGCAGAAGATACTATTTTCGATTCTGGGGGAAGAGGGCAGCCCCTCTTGGTGTCCCTTGTCCCTTATCACGCCCATGTGGTGCATGGCTTGAAGTGTATCTCATGCGTACAAAAATGTGATTGGACCTAATAGAGAGTGACACTACATTCGCCTTCGAGTAAGAAGGATGCCACTTGTCGCACTTTGATTTTGCGTATTAAGAAATGTTATTTCCCTGTTAATTATGATTAAATTGAAAAATGCGCTCCTCTTTTAATTTGAGAACACACAATTTTGACTTTAAACTTTACACGTCTATATCCCAAAAGGTCCGAAACCCATCCCAAATACGTGCTGGGGGATTTATAGGAGAGTACCAGTAGTAACCCTCCTCAAAAGTGTCACTCTGACAAAAATTTGAACGAAACTTTTAAAACAGGAAAATTGAAACTGGAATTTACATCCACAATTTTAAAATTAGTGTCCTTAAAAATATGAAAACCTCAGAATTATCCTCTGCCGTGGATACTCCGAGCACAAATTATTAAATGCAAAATGAAATAATTTCCTTTATTGAGACTCGCTCAATCTCTGCTACGGTTGTTCCAGTTCCATGCCTTCAGACTGTCGATCTGTATGATAGGAAGCCATATAGACGCCTTCAATTACTGAGTTCTGCAACAAAACTAGCACGCTAGAAATGAAAATACATCCTAGGCTCAGCATACATCTATCGCGAATGGGAAAGATCATATACAGATTTTCTGCAACCCCATAATTCGGTTTTTGTGCAGATGAGTGATTGCGTCCCGGTGAATTACTATTTTTCCATTACAAATCAGTTTGACTCAAGAGCCTAGATTAAATTTTGCTATTGTCATAGTGATTAACACAAGGAAAAATTAGAACAGTCAGAAATTCAAACGTCTGTAAGTTGGTTCCTTGACGATTCTCTTAGCTCAAAAAGATAACAAAAAGTGGTTATTACGTTGACTATTTAAAATGAAAACATCCATTGTCATGCAGGCTTTATCCCAGCTTGCCTGCTGTGAGTTATAGAGAGAAAATAATACAGATCCCCCAAGACACGAATGTACTTGGTATAATTTGGAAGTCATTGTTTTTTTTCTTTTTTCGGTGAAATGCTTTGAAACAGCTCTGATTTATTTTTTTGAATATTAATGAGCGTTGAATTTCCATAAATTGTGGAATCTACAGTGTAGAGTCCATGCCAAATTCGTTTACGCATTTTTAAACTCGACAGAAGATCGTCTGACGTCACTTTTACATGTAAAGTAAATGCAAGAATCAGGATGGTGGATCTTCTGTCACAGTCTAAAAGTATGTGTAAACTTATTTGCGTGCGAACTCTGGCCATGTTCAAAAAAGGTCTCCTCTTCTTATGTTTACTGCACTCATTAACGTAGGCATTTGGTTTTTGTATTTTTATTGTAAATCTCCATATTTTTTTGAGCTAAGATAATCACCTTCAATCTTAATGAGTTGTGTTTGTAGTAATATTGATTGTTAAAATATTTATTGAAAGAAGATCGCATATTTATTAAAGTACTATAGATTAGCAGTTTTTTCAATGTGTATTATATTTTAACTTCCTACGGCAAATGCTTTGCGTAGGATTTTGAATGCGTCATTGAAATGAAACCTCTCATTTGTGAGGCTATCATGTTTTCATCCAAAAGTCTGCTTTATCTGTATCAGGATACATGTTATAGTGATTTGTTGTTCACTTTCCGATTACCGAAAAATGTGCTTGTTGCTATTTGCTTGCTGATGGCCATTTTGAAAGTTTGAACTTTCATCTTCGGAGTGTCTACAGAAATCTTATCTCCGAGAGTGAAAATTCAGACTCTCAAAGTGGTATTCAGCCAGTTAATAGGAACAAGAACATTTTCCGGGAATCAGGAGGTGGAAAACAAATTACTATAAAATATATTCAATTTCTCATCTTTACCCCTATAATTTTGTCTTAATTCTTTTTTTTTTTTTTTTGTAACTTTTAACAAAAGAAAGTCGATATAAAACATCCAAAAAATATGAGAATGCGTTATTGCAACCTGCGCCGACAGGTTACTGTAAACAATTAAGTTTGTAGAAGGAAAAAGAAAAAAATAACTGTGATTCGTGTTTTGACTTTTTTTTATTATGAATCATTTTTTGAAGAAATGTTCTGTATTGATCAGTCAAACTATGAATAAGAAAAAAAACGTATAACAGAGAGAGGCATTCCAATATTTGGTAACAAGAACAGGCGAGTTGAAAGAATTGAGGTATGAAATATGTTTTGCTATATATGACCAAAATTAATTCCTTCAAAATTGAATTAAATCCTAATATAGGAGATACAATTTTTACAATGAATAGAGACATTTAATGATTCTAAATACAATATTAAAATTGTTAGGCAGATGCTATACATTAAGGATAATTTCCTCTTGCAAGCATAAAAAGGTAAATTTCAAATTTTCAGAGCATTATGTAGCTTTTACAATTTGGTTCTGTTGTTTTTTTAATGAAATATGAGGGTCTCATGAGCTATAAAGTATTTAGGAACTTGAGTATGGTAACGTATGTTTCTTGTAATGGTGATTGTGTTGGTATCTTTTGATTTGTACTCATCTCAAACTTGAGGTTGCGCATGTACAGTCTTGGAGTTGTTTCTTCAGTCGAAGAATCTGTAAAACGATAAAATTAGTTATGAGTATTCAATATGAATCAGCAGTCCATTTGTTTAAAATTAGAAATTCCAGCATAGAAAGCGGCTGAAATTTAATCTGGAAGTACTATTGTCTTCCCTGCAAACGTGAAAATTGATGTAAGGGTCCAAATTCTTAATATATGATCTATTGTCTATGAGAAAGTTTAGCTCATTCCGAAAATATTCCTAGTAGGGTCATTCCACGTCAACGCAACCAAGGTCGGAACCCGACCCCCTCCGATTTGGCTGAAAATTGGTATACGGGGTCTTTACATCATTCTAAGAAACTAATTTGGAGGGTTTTCCCATCCGACGCCCCGTTCGCGAGATATCGACCCCCAAAGATGGGGTGAATTTTAGTGATATTCAAAAACGCCCGTTTTAGCGATTCTCATTTTCTCGACTTCCCTCTCTTTGACTCTCCATAGCGAGACTCTGTATCGATCCATCATACTTTGAAAGAGTGTTTCTAGACCAATTTTTTATGTAGATTCTGAATATGCCATCAAAATTGAGCTAAAAATTATTTAAACGGCTGTAATTTAGAGTTTTTTAAAATTTACGATTTTTTCGCCATTCAATGTTCAAACTGAATTATCTAAAAAACAGTCTCTCCGATTTTCGATTTTTTTTTATACTTCAAGCTTAGGATATATACTTTCGGTTGATATACTTTTTTCAATTGCCATCGGACGGTTAAGGGCCTAAAAAAATTCAAATAGGCCAAAAACGGCTAAAAATTGGTAAAAAAGGACGATTTTTCACATGTTAATCCAAATATTTCGATAATGAACTCTTCAATTATCGATATTTTTTCCCACTTTACCCTCTAACATGTATAAAATCAGACTATCAACGCTTTCCATACATGCACCGATCGATTAACGGCCTGATGGAAACCGGAAACCGACCGAAAATCCTCGAAATTGACGCAAAAAGACGATTTTTCACACCGTAACCGATACATTCCATGGATTGTAACTGCAATTTCCAATTTTCTCGATCTACTTCAACCTTAAGATGCATACTTTCGAGTAATAAACCCTTACTATAACTTGCATCGATGGGGCACGGATCCAAACGGAAGTGAAAACCGGCCGGAAATGCTAAAAAATGACGGGAAAAGGCGATTTATTGCATAGTCAGGGGAGCATGTGTTCGAAAATTACGTCCCGTTTGCACGTTTGTGATGCAAGTTTACTCTCTTCATTTTGGTCCCTAGAATGAGAAAATCTTTGGTGGACTCTCCAATTTTGATGCCAAGGCCCCAAAAACAAGATGGCGGCCAAAATGGACGCTGAAATTGAAATTTTGGTAAAACGGCACAAAACGTCAAGAGAGGTGTCGATTCTCATGTTTTTTGGATCGTAGATTCCAGAAAAATTGTCATCCAGACCCCTCGACCCACGGAAATGCCCAAAATCCAAGATGGCGGCCGATTTTGGCTCTTTAGCGGCTAAAACGTCAAATGCGGAGCAGAGCCGTAATATAGGTAAATATGTTCACGCAATAAAACTATTGGTGATCAACATAGCATTAAGTTGGAGGATGGGCAGCAGATCAAAGGCGCACTATAGGTCCTTGGGGGTTCTGTTGACCCAGGATGGAAGAACGGATAAAGGGATAAAGGAAAGAAACATCGTAGCAAGGAAGGCTACAGCTATATTCAATGGAATCCTCCGGGATCCGTAGATTTCCAAAGAGAACAAGAGGAAAATTTTCAATTGCGAAGACCAAAGTATTCTTACATATGACAGTGAAGTTTGGCAGCTGAAGGAACGGACACAGGGGATGCTAAGAGCAACGGAAATGGATTTCTGGAGGAGGTCGCTGTAGGAATTTTTAGAAGCGATCGGGTCCGCAATGAAAGAGTGCGTCAGATCATGGGAGTCGAAAATGACATCGTATTCGACAGCATGATCAGACAGCTTGACTGGTTTGGCGATGTCAATAGAATGACGAACGAAGGACTGCCGTAAAAGATGCTTGATTGGGTTCCTCCTGGGAGGAGACAAAGGGGATGCCCAGTGAAAGGGTGGCGACACAGGGTTTTAGAAAAATGAGGGTATGTGAACTCCCTGAAAGGCCTTAGGAGGATCGGGAACTTAGGCGGTATGGTGTCGCAGAGCGCCAGAGATCGCTATAAAAGCGGCTTTGTATGTATGTGTAATATATTAATTATTATCGAAATTGAGAGTATCAGGTACTCCCCGGCAATGGCACTGTTTAACAAGCAAAAAAATTACAACCATGTCTCCCCGATGAGATACCTAAGGTGATTCCTACGTATTTTGAGGGGCTGAATCCGGAAACCTCCGTTTTTTTCCATCACCCTACAATGGAGATTTTGCATTTGTGAGGGTTTTGCGATTTGACCGTCGATTCTTACGTAAAAGTTTGCGAAAAACACGATGGTGCCACTGGTTTTCTCTGAAAGCAACTCCCAAGCTCAAAAAAAGCTCTCAAGTTTAGGTCAAAATGGAGGGGATATCCTGCCCTACCCTGAGAGTCCACCTCTACATCAAAACAAACTCTCCATGCAAAGATAGGGAGCAATAGAGTCCCTTTATACTGAGAGTCAAGACAACACCCCTCATGGAGTCACAAACGGGAATAAAGATTACAGAAATTGAACGTTTTTCGTAATCTTTGATCGGCCCATTCTCGAATTCCTTTCTTCGTTCCTTCCCTCATTCCGTTTGTTCCTTGCCGAACCCGTAATTCCCCGGTCCATTCCAGATTATAATCTTTGCAATCGGTGAAACTGTAATCTTTATTCCCGTTTGTGACACTGTGGAGGCCTAAAATACGGGAAACAATCAGAAATGGATTCACATTGTCTTGATTCTCAGAATAAAGGGACTCTAGGGAGCAAATACATTGACAGGGCTACCACTTTATTTGGGGACTCCAAAACTGAAAACACGGCAACCCTGCTAATGTATTTGCTCCCTATCTTTGCATGGAGGGTTTGTTTTGATGTAGAGATGGACTCTCAGGGTAGGATGGGATATCCCCTCCATTTTGGACTCACTTTGAGAGCTTTTTTTGAGCTTGGGAGATAATTTCAGAAAAAACCAGTGGCACCATCGTGTTTCTCGCGAACTTTTACAAGAGAATCAATAGTCGAATCGCAAATTCCTCATATATGCAACATCTCCATTCTCTGGAAAAGCCGATTCCGCCCGAAATAATGGTCATTATCCTGGTTAGTTTTCCGGAAAATTGAGGGGTAATCCGGAATAATAAACGCAATTTTCAGATTTAGTGGGTCAAAACTCATCGGAATAGTTTTATTGTGTATTTGAGAACAAATTTACCCATATTCTGCAGGGGTACCTTAAAAAAAACCAATAATGCTAATTATAGAAACTGACCCGGAAAATTATTTCGATTAGAGTGTTCCTGAACACACTATTCAAAATGACTGCCGAGTTCGGCCTTTGCATGATCCAAATCAGCACCATTTGGCATGAAATATTTTTTTCTCCTATTTTTTTGGAATCTGTGACCTCGAAAACAGATATCTAGTGTGTTTACTCCTCTCTTTGCTCCGCATTTGACGTTTTGGCCGCTAAAGAGCCAAAATCGGCCGCCATCTTGGATTTTGGGCATTTCCGTGGGTCGAGGGGTCTGGATGACAATTTTTCTGGAATCTACGATCCAAAAAACATGAGAATCGACACCTCTCTTGACGTTTTGTGCCGTTTTACCAAAATTTCAATTTCAGCGTCCATTTTGGCCGCCATCTTGTTTTTGGGGCCTTGGCATCAAAATTGGAGAGTCCACCAAAGATTTTCTCATTCTAGGGACCAAAATGAAGAGAGTAAACTTGCATCACAAACGTGCAAACGGGACGTAATTTTCGAACACATGCTCCCCTGACTATGCAATAAATCGCCTTTTCCCGTCATTTTTTAGCATTTCCGGCCGGTTTTCACTTCCGTTTGGATCCGTGCCCCATCGATGCAAGTTATAGTAAGGGTTTATTACTCGAAAGTATGCATCTTAAGGTTGAAGTAGATCGAGAAAATTGGAAATTGCAGTTACAATCCATGGAATGTATCGGTTACGGTGTGAAAAATCGTCTTTTTGCGTCAATTTCGAGGATTTTCGGTCGGTTTCCGGTTTCCATCAGGCCGTTAATCGATCGGTGCATGTATGGAAAGCGTTGATAGTCTGATTTTATACATGTTAGAGGGTAAAGTGGGAAAAAATATCGATAATTGAAGAGTTCATTATCGAAATATTTGGATTAACATGTGAAAAATCGTCCTTTTTTACCAATTTTTAGCCGTTTTTGGCCTATTTGAATTTTTTTAGGCCCTTAACCGTCCGATGGCAATTGAAAAAAGTATATCAACCGAAAGTATATATCCTAAGCTTGAAGTATAAAAAAAAATCGAAAATCGGAGAGACTGTTTTTTAGATAATTCAGTTTGAACATTGAATGGCGAAAAAATCGTAAATTTTAAAAAACTCTAAATTACAGCCGTTTAAATAATTTTTAGCTCAATTTTGATGGCATATTCAGAATCTACATAAAAAATTGGTCTAGAAACACTCTTTCAAAGTATGATGGATCGATACAGAGTCTCGCTATGGAGAGTCAAAGAGAGGGAAGTCGAGAAAATGAGAATCGCTAAAACGGGCGTTTTTGAATATCACTAAAATTCACCCCATCTTTGGGGGTCGATATCTCGCGAACGGGGCGTCGGATGGGAAAACCCTCCAAATTAGTTTCTTAGAATGATGTAAAGACCCCGTATACCAATTTTCAGCCAAATCGGAGGGGGTCGGGTTCCGACCTTGGTTGCGTTGACGTGGAATGACCCAGTAGCAATTTTTTCCGAATTTTTTCAAAAATAATGCTTGATTGCGCTGATGATAAATCGGTTATTTTACCACCTTTTTACATACAATTTGGACCACAATTGGACTACATTTTGCAATTTGGAACTACAAATTCTAGCCCGGTTTAAAAACAACGTATGTGCTATTAGCTTCCCTATGCACATAAGTGTTTTTCCAAAAGAGCCAGAGTTCATAGTTCCAAATTGCAAAATGCAGTCCAATTAATGTGTTTCTTTTCTTGTTGAAAATGAATGAATTGTAAAATGTTTTAAAGAAATTCTTGTTCGAGATTATGAATTGAACCCCCGCATATTTTATATGCAAAAGATTGAACCGCACGAGTAAAAGTGCAAATAGCCACCCATTCTTAAATTGACGGTTTTCTGAATTCGTCCGAATTTCAAGAATTGAATTTCTTATTATCATTGCACATAATGTATGTTTACCTTCTATTTTTATAATAATGTCCCAGACCTTTCAGTGAATATCATGCTCTGTATCATTGTACATTTCTTTAATCGTTTAATTCCGGATGTTGAAAAAGTCCCAAATTTTAACAACATCTATGTTTTTTTCTATATTAAACTTATGTGTTTACCTAATCCCAGTCCCATCCATGGCTGGAGTGAGAGTCCCATCCGTGGTCATGTGACTTGATGTAAACTGGGACCTTGTGGTAATGGTGCTTGTGGACGGTGTGGACTTCATATGGCACGTGAATAATGTAGTGAGTGCTGAAAATGCGAAAGGTGTATTATCATTCACTTCGTAAATGTCAATTAAATCGAGAATCTGCGCAACGGCGAAGACATAAAAAATGTAAAAAGTCATTGTGAGTCTACATAAAAAAAAATTGTAGAATTGTATGTATAATAAAAATTGAATGATGTAAACTGGTATGTTTAAGGTTGAACATAATTAAAGTGCATTTAATGTAAGTCAAAATTTATTGTTTAGATAACTCAAATAACATTAATGATACATTATGGGTGCTCAAAGACTCTATGAATGAACGCTAAAAAATTTATTTTGAAAACATACTTTATTAGACAACCTGTTTTTCAAGAACGAATATATTTTGTGCATTTGATCAACTTACTCCTTTCGCGTTACAAAAATAATACTCACTGTTTAGGCCAGAAGCTTGGGTCTGGCGTGGGTAAACTCATGGCTGCGGCGAAGAGTGACAGGAGGAGAGCAATCTGGAAAATAAAACAAAATATTGAGAGGTGACATATTAAGAATATTCCAACTTATGTTCCTCAACATGCTCTTTATTAAAAGAAAAAACAAGATCATAATTTCTACTGAGTCGAAAAATGCATGACCAGACGAAAACACTAATTGAATATCCGGTTGTGTAATATACTCTCAGGTTAGAGTTCTTTCGTATCTCCATTGGGGGACAGAGTCTCTATAGGTTCAATTTGAGTAAAAGACTGGTCACAATAAACTCCTTAGAGTTTCCGTGTTTTGGGCTTCGTCCCCCATGTTTTAAATCCCATCCAATCTAATCGTGATCTCAGGTTCTTTTTGAAGACATTGAACTTCTCGTTAATTGTTTTCTTCTCCTTCTTTTTCATTTATTTTTTTAGTAAAAGAAAAAATTGCTGTAAATTGCATTCAATGAGTTCACTGGTTTCAGTTCCAATGCTTTTTGTCCTATGGAGGGGAATGGAATATGCTCACAATGTTCTCAAGCAATGATATATCTCTTCTCCTAATCCGCTTCACATATTAATATACCCCTTGGGAACAAATGCGATTGATATAGGGCACACCTCCTCCGAACCAATTTCGAAGCTCAGAATGGAAGTGTAATGAATTTATTGCACTCGTGCTCTAGTTCCCAACTCTCATCGCGAATAAGGCAACGAAGAAGTATACCGGCCCCTCCGGTTATCAGGTCCAAATCGCGGTGGTGATCTCATCGTTTCCTGCGAGTGCGCCAAGATCAGACACATTAAGTAATGGACGATGGTTCGCTTCAGATTCGCGAAGGAGGGTTTTTTTTTGAGGCGAGGAAATGATCGACTTCGGGCCGTGCGAAGGAGTTACGTATGACGTAAGGGTGTTCGCGTTATTCGTATTCGACCTCTCTCACGTTGTATCCTCGATGAATGAGAAGTTGTCGGCACGGGGCCAGTAGTACAACTCTGCCGTGCTAAGGAAAAACGCCGTATGAGGCTTCAGACGTTGCCAAGTTTCCTTCGATAAAAACCGAATTTACTGGAAATATTGTGAATATTTTTTTCCAAAATTTTCAGACACTTTCGAACGCAATTTAATCTAAAATATCTGAGAATTTTAAAGGAAATTGTGCATGAATGACGTAAAAATACATGTTTCATCAAGGGAAATTTGGCAACTCTCGAATGTTCCTGCGGCGTTCTTCCTAGTGCAGCCGTTCTGAATTTCGCATACTAGGAATGCTGGGATTCACATCAGATGCCGGTTTATAATTTTCATAGCTTCTGCTCTATAGAGCCTATATGCGGCGCTCAATTAAATGACAAAAAGAATGTTAAGTCTGTATGGTGTAAGTTGCAATGGACTTTCTCACACGCATAGAGGAAAAAACTTCGGTAACCGGCGCTGAATTTTGGTTCATGTGGGACACTGAAGTTTTCGTTCCGGGTAATCGAAAAATTTCGTCATCGAAACCGAATTCCGAATCAGACAACTAAAGTGTTTTTGGTACAAAATGCAAGGCTTTTGAATGGTTAGCCAAAAGTTTGGTTACTCAAACAAAAATCCGGTTTTTATGACGGAATACTTCGGTTATTTAGATGGTAAAATTTGATGCCCTATGTAGTTTGATGTTTTCTCTTCATGGTAAATACCCTTAAAAAAAAAAAAAAATAAAATAAAATAAAAAAAAAATAAAAAAAAAATAAAAATAAAAGGCCCAGATTTTTTCACGGATTTCATTGAAAGACTTTCACATTCCCTAAAAAAAATTTCCTCTAAGAAAAGTGCTTTTTTTTTCAAAGGAGGCTGTTTCCAATAAGAAAATGACTTATCGGATCGATCGGTTGGTTACTAGGAGGGAAAAAAACAAACAACAACATGTTGCAAGTGACAACAAGGTGCGTGAATGAGGCGAAGCAACATTTTAAAGCTGCTGCTCTGCTTGTCAACGTTCGAGAAGCAAACCAGCGAGGGATTACGCGTGCAAAGAAAAATGCGAAGTACCCGCATATCCAAAGATGACGTATTTCCAATTACGGTTCGCGTGAAGACTAGAACTTGTTCCGTAACAGTAATGATAGGCCAGGGATAATAGGGGCTTTACAAATCAGTACTATCAAGCTGTCTAAAAGTGGAGTTTGTCGATCGGAAGACAAATGGCTAAGTCTTCAATCCGGCTGGACGGTAACTTAAATGCGAATTTGTACTTTTAAGAAGCGAGGGCTGAAAATTTTGAAAATATAGTAATAGCGTCCGCTCTAGAATCTTAAATTTTTTAACCCCACACATAATATTTGCAAGTAATACTACAATTTCTGCCTCAGTTCAGGATCAACGCATGTACCATTAGTTCTTGTATGCGCCTACGTGTTTTTACGGACTAGCCAGAAATTGCAGTTTCCAATTGCAAAATGTAGTCCAATTAGGTACTCGCAAGTCCAAAATAATATTTCATTTTTTTCCTCCTTTCGGAAAAAAGTAAGGTAAGTTTGAATGAAATTCAACCTAATTGTGGGCCCAGTATCATTTTTGCTAAAGGTAATCAAAATTCAAAAAGTCTTTGTTATGTACAGTGGTACATATTACTCAAGAGTGTGAAGGATACCACCAGGACTGCGATTACCCTCGCCCAAAATTCTACTTGGTTTCAAAAGCATTCCGTTTCCTTAACATGCCAAGTTGGGTTAATTCGTTCTATTATTTAGATTTTCTTCCTCAAATTAACTTCAACCGTCAAAGAAATTGACTAAAAATTTCGTTACTCGAATCACAACTTTAACTATACTTAATATTAGAAAGCACCAGAAAATAGTTTGCAAAAAACTATATTTAGGAGATGTAACGGTTTGTAGAGAGTCAATTGTATTGCCTGTCTTCTTCTCTTTGTGAATTTTAAAGAGTGATTTTCTCAAAGTTTCCTGAAATTTGCTAAAATTAATTTATCCGTCTTTTAAAAGAAGAGAATGAGAGAGAAAATAAGAAAGAAGAAAAAGAGGTTTGACGTTTTATTTCTCCATAAGACTCAATGTAGAAAGTAAACTTTAACTCCTCCTTTCACTAACTAATATTTTTTTCGACTTTGAGTTTTGGGCAGGAGAACGTACACAACTAGAGAAACTCAAAAACATTCTTAACTCAATTTTTTTGAAAATGTGGTTTGTTTTCTTTCTGATAAACTCGGTCCATTTGTCAGATTAGAAATAAAGTGCGTTTGAATCAAAAGAGCTCAGGGCCAAAATGCATGTGTTCAACATGCACCATGAGTTGTGGGAATGGAGGAGAGACAAGTTTTGTGTGCAACTTCCTCGCGCTAAGTGCACGTTTAGCAATACACGTTTAGATAAAAGAGGTAATTCAAACGCAGATCTAATTCCTGTCCCCGGAAGACTATTAATCGTTCCTGATCATCGTTTTTTGTTGGAAGCATCGTTATTAATTAAGTAAGTGAGAGAGAGGATCCGTGCGGAGTGGTTATCCGGTCTTGCCCGGGCCCCGGGGAAGCGGATGAAGTGAGTGAGAGGAAAATTACACCAATTTCAAAAGGAAGCACAGAATGTCAGTGAACGCGCGCGCGCGACGGACCACTCATGAGAGAAAGGGCCCGATGCCGGGAATACATGATGCTTGAATTAAAGCTTGACCATACGAGTCATTTCAAAGAAGGAGTTGCTCCTTCCAGGAATCATGTACAAGGCTTAAATAAACTGAGCTCGAGAGCATTCGAAAGGCTGGGAGGACAAGGCGCATAAGTGCAGTTTTTGAGAAAATTGAGATCTTAATGATTTCGTTCTACCAAAACTGTATTTTTTAATTTCAAGTTCGATGTTTTTAACTGGGAAAAGTAAGATAGAGAGATAAGGGGCTTGGAGAATCAGGCGCATGAGTGCATTTTTTTCAAAAAAAAATTTGAGATATCAACGAATTTTAGTAAAACTAGTCATATTGCATATTATGCGAAAAATCCGCTCCCAAATTTCAATTTTTAAGCATCGAAAAGTCAGTTTGATTTTTCTTTCTGCCATAAGGATCCATGCAATTCCGAAACTTCCGATACGTATTTCCCGAAATAGGAAAATTGCACTTATGCGCCTTGTCCTCCAAGCCCCTAATTTGAGGGGCTCGGATGACGAGGCGCATGAGAGCATTTTTTGCTGTTTTGAATAATACATGATGGAAGTTTCGAAATTAAAAAGATCTCCATGGCAGAGAGAAAGTTCAAACTGACTTTTTGATTAATAAAATTAAGAACTTGTATGCGAATTTTTCACAGAACATGCGTTAAGACTAGTCATACTTAAATTCGTTGATATCTCAATTTTTTTTTTAAAAAAATGCATTTATGCGCTTGATCTTCCGAGCCCCTTACTTCTCTTTCTTACTTTTCCCAGTTAAAAACATCGAACTTGAAATTCTAAAAAACTGTTTTTCAAAATTCAAAAAAAAAAACTTCCTAATGGTAGATAAATTAATGCAGATCCTTAAAATTTAATTACAACCCAGAAAAGTAATGAGAAACTTTTAAAACTCAGTTTTTAGTAACACAAATTCCACTGTTGTTTTCGCTCAGTTTGGAGGGAAACAAAGATTGGTGGAGCCTCATAATCTACGTTTTTCTTCAAACTGCTGGAGCATGTATCGTTTTTGATGCGGTAATAGCCACTGTGGCTACAGCCGAATCCATTTCATTGTGAGGTTGACGCAGTACAACTATCAAATACTTCGTAAAGTTGAAGTTGAACCGATGCCACAATTTGCGAATAGTTGCCGGCACTGTAGTGCCAGATCTACAAGTCATATCGGACACATAATCTCTTCGGCTCCACCAAAATTATCCTTCCACCATGTTCAGTGTTAAGAAAAAAGAATGATTGAATCCTTCATACTAAAAATTTAATATTAAAGGTTAATATAAGGAGTAAAATGTCTCATGAGTACCCAGCATACTAGGAGCTATTCTAATCGCTTACATTCATGTAGTTGATTTTAAAAGCAATCCCTCATACTTTGATCATACACGATACTAACTAACAAGAAACAATTTTGATTTACGAAGGAGTGAGTTCAAACTAGGGTGAGATCCCTTATTCGTCACTTTGCCAATATTTGCATGGTATGTTATGACGGTTTAACGGGCGCCCGACAGAATGAAGCGTCAATTCCACGTGGGGCATAAAACTCGCGGGAAATTTTGATATGTAAACGTCTATGGGAAAAGGAACCTCAGTTCATAAAGACTAGACATTAAGTTTTTGATACCAGAGCACAGATCAGTGCTATATAGATACATTGTAAGACTTTATTATTTATGACATCAGAATTTATGCTTTAGGGCACAAAATTGCCGAGCATCAATGCACCTTTACACCCACTGCGGTCTAAAGAGGAACTGATAACTGAACCACTTGTAAACTATTAAAAGGAGGCTACTGAAAGTTCTCCTCTAAAATCTCAAATTGTAATTTTTCGACCCCATTTGACAAAAATTGTTGCTTTGAAATTTAGACCGAGTTTAACAAAAACGCACCAAAATGGATTAATTTTGAAGCAAGAAAAAGAGGTTTGAAGTTGCATGCCTCCATGAGACTCAATGTTAAATACAAAGTGTAGCAACTGTATTCGGGTTCAGAATATTTTCTTTCGACTTCAAATTTTCAACGAGACACACTTCACAAGTAGGTAAATTCAAAAAATTTTCAAACTTTTTTTTTAATTTTTCATGCCTCCATAAGACTCGATGTTAAAGACAAAGTTTAAAAACTGTATTCACGTTCAAAGTATTTTCTATCGACTTTAAATTCTTAACGAGACACATTTCACAAGAAGGTAAATTCAAAATTTTTTCAAAAAAATTTTTTCGACTTGGTGCGTTTCGGTTTAATTCGGTCCGATTTTGCCTCATTTTACGAAGGTCGCATTTCCATAAACGAGCACATACACAGAAATAAATAAAGAAAAAGAAACAACCGAAAAATAACACTGAAAGACACTTTTCTAAATCCAACGACGAAATTGGCACTTGCACTAAAAGTAGTTAAAAGAGCACGAGCCGAACTTACAGCATATTTGATAGAGATCATGATGGCAGGGTATTGAGGTAAGTTCACTAGGACTGATTTTAAAATTAAATGAGCGCGTAAACAAAGCGATAACTAAATGAAATGACGAGGGCCACGAGCTTTATATACCCTCTACTTGAAAAGTGAACCGCGGGACTATGTCATCCAGTTCTTGCGTAAGTTTCAACTCGGCATCAATCCGGTGGTGGTGGCTTGACCATGCCGCGCTGGGGCCGACCTGCCCCGGTCTTGGCGCTTCCCAGCCCCTATTTCCCATTGCTCCTCCCGACACTCCTCTATGCTGCCGTGCTAAGGAAGAACGCCGTAAATCCATCAAGATTTTCCCTCGTTTTTTGGAACTTAACACTTTATAAAATACAAACTGTTTTACCCAAGCACCTCAAAGGACACTATTCAAAATCGGCGTTTTTGGCCCTCCCGGGGAATTCTGTCATATATTGGGGGCTGATAGAGAGTCATCTGAGAAGCCCGAAAATAGTCAGTTTTTAGTCCTAAACCCCGGGAACAGGGGGGGGGGGCGGGGGGTCAAAGTCCAAATTTTGGAATTCTTGTAACTTTTGAACGGTACAAGTTACGTTCTTGATAATATTTGAGAAAGAATTCTGTAAAAACATTGTCCTAAGAAACACAAATTTTCCTGTTATGATACATTGTTTCCAAAAAATGTGAAATGGCGTTAACGGCGTTTTTGCGTTGCACGACAGTATGGTCGTATCAACCCTCCATGCCATAGCGTTACGAGTTCATAACAACGTTTTTGGGATTTTTTCCAAAATTGAATCATTTCTCCGTGGCATGATTTTGCAACTTTTCATTCGCTTTTTCTTAATTTGAATGATTGATTCCCAAAAATTTAAAGCTTTGAAATATATTTGGTACTCCGTGATTTTTATGCAAGCTACAAAATAGATTAGTATCCCCCAGAATCTGAAATCTAAAATTAATTCATGCCATAGAGGGTTAAACAGATTCCAAAAATGACATTTTATTTCACACTAGCAGGAAACCCGTGCTACGCACAGGAAAACCCCACCATCAGCAATCACTGTGATTAGTGATCAGTTACTAATTGTGTTTCTGAATTATCGTCTACTATTTCAAAATTGGCGAGACACACTGGTTTGATAAAAAAGTAGAAATTAGTAGTATGCTGCTATTTTGGTCTGTTCTTCAGTAAGCTCATATGATAATTGTAATAATCAAAAATACCCAATCAAAAGTTGGTTATTTTCATAAAGATTTGATACTTTTGTCAGTTCAATGTTTAATTGAAGTTAGCTGGTGAGTTTCAGCCGCGAAAATTACGGGATTTAACCAGCGGTTTCGTTTAATTCTCAGCAATGGCGGGTTTGTCATCCACATCGCGGAGAAAACTTGATTTTTCCAGGGATTTTGTAAAACAAATTAGAAATTACACGATATCACGGCAAATACGTCGTGTTCCTAGCGAATTTCTAAGATCATTATAATTAATTGCGAGTTATTCACATCAATATCGTGGCATACACGCGAATTTCTGACTCAATTAAGACTACGTAAATGTGCGCATACAACTCATAAACATCTGTTGCTTGGGATGGGCGGAAACGTATGATTTTCCTTCAATTTTGTATGATACCGCATACCCACTCCGGAGTTCAAATAGTTTCTCGCTTCATTTCAAGCAGGTGAAGAATGTCGGAGCGATGTTCTGTTTGCTCCGCTGTCGCTGTCAGCACCGCGACTACAGGCGCAGTGTGACCAAGCCGTCAGCACAGTATAGAACGCCTTCAATCTAGCAAGCGGCAATATGCGCAGAGGAGACCAACGAACTACACCTCTAGAATGGCCGCGAGATAGCAAACCTGCGTAACGCGCATGGGCCGGTTTTTGAGGGCAGGAGGGGGGTGGGAGCCCAAGTATAGCTAACCTCAATCTCCATTTCTGCTGCGTCTTGCCCATAAGGATTACATGTGAAAATTATTTCAACCTTTGTAAACTTTCATTTTTTTGAGGTTTTCTTTCAAAGTTCCTATTTTTTGAGTAAAGAAAACCTTTTGAGGTGCGATTGTTCAGCAATCTTTTCATTACTATCACTTTATTCAACAATAATCGGCAAAATGTGGGCAGCGTCTGACATGGGTTTAGATGACAGCCTGCTGTGTGAGCCCAAGTAAACCTAACCTATATCAACTTCAAAACGTTCCAGGTCTCTAACACTGGTCAGCCATTCTAGAGGTGTAGTTCGTTGGAGGAGACCAATGCCATAGAATAAAAAGACTACGTTAGTCTCTTTATTCTATGCCAATGAACAGACAGATTTTCCAGATTTTCACATCTCTGAGAGGGTAGCCCGGCAACGGAGGCACGAGTCGGAGCTCGCAAAAATCATGGCGCGGCGTTTCCAACAGCGCGACGCAGAACTCGTTCCATCTTCCTCGCACTCGTTGGACGCCGAACTCCTTCCATCTTCCTCGCACCCGTTGCGCGCACCAGAAGAAGACACGTAAAATTTATCAGCTGTCTTCGAGCGCGAGCCGCGGAAATCGCTCCATCTCGCTCGCACTCTCTCTCGCACCCGTTGTCCTTACGGGAAAATCGACCCGCGCGGACCGCGATATCCCGCGAACCGGCGGGCGGATCGCGAAATCCTCCCTTATCCGGCGCCTCGGGGTAGAGAGGGATCCCAGTGCGGAATCTCAGGGTCACACGGCCTCCCGTTCACGAGATCCGCTGATACGTGAGTCAGTGAGTGAGTCAATCAACGTGAAGTCTGCTTTATTAGTATAGATTAGTACGAACCGGATTCATTGGGGTCGTCTCAGATTATAGTTTTAGTAATGAGCAGGCAATTCAAATTTGTTTTTTTAGTATTGAGAATTGTCACTGTTTTGGTCGTTGTTGTCAGTCTGGCCGATTTCGCCTCTTAACGGTTTAGACTGTTTTAACGTTTTCACCGGGTCGACTACTAGATAAGGCACGAATTACAGTATTATAATACATGTTTCCCGATCAAAATTCCACGTTAAACATAAATCAGATAGCGAAATTTACTCAAAGGAACTCCTGAGTAAGAGCCTGGCGTCCAGGTAGCATTGATTACGGGAAATTTGAATTGCCTGCTCATTAGTAAAACAATAATCTGAGTTAAATCGCGCACTACAACGGCTGTGGCGGGCGACTTAATCAAGCAGCTTTCCTTCCCTATACCTGTGTTGTTTAAAATATTAACAACGTTCAACAACTGAGTCGAAGCACAGAAATTAAGATCGTCATATTTTCATACTGCCACAATCAATGACCCCAAATCTAAAAGCTCTCCAATACTAGGTGCGGAATTGTACTTACTTTCTTAATCGTGCGTTTAAGTCTCCAGATCTATTGCGCACACCTTCTGTTACAGGGTGCTCGATCGACCGCACAGTGGATCGAGTAAATTGGAGAGGTCGGACATGGAATATTTGACTAAAACAGCAAATTTTGATGTTTATTTCCTCACATTTTAAATTTCAAGGGGGGGGGGGTTTCTTCTCAAATGAAACCTTTACGCTGTCGATATGAATTATTGAAATTTGACGATTTAAGATACATGTTGCTTGCCAATTGCTGGCAATGGCAGACTGCTTACAATATTTATACAGTTTTTGTGAAACCATCACATTTTCTTTGCTCGTTTGGAAAAATATTTTTTTTTTTACCTTTATTTACCGTCAACACTCCACTCCTCCTTTCCAGGAATCACCGGTTCCCTATTACTTTCCAGGAATTAGCGGTTCTTTATTATGGGAAAAACAATATTCTGAATTCCATTCTACCATAATGAATAACGTCATTTGCTTCTTTTCTATTACATCTTTTTGCAAATATACCTAGCAAAAGTAGGTACAAAATGTCTGATTTACTCGTTAAATAAAAGAGCGTCATCTGCCTTCAGACCATCTTACTTGCGAATCTAATCTCAAAATATAATTCCGCTTTGCGTCAAAATTCAGCTCGAACCGCCGGGCCGATTCGTGCGCGGGTGGTACCGCACTGGAAAAGTAAAACACATTGGATCTAGAGTCCAGACTCTTGAAAACATCGACAAGAAAAAATACTCTTAATTCAATCGGATTTTTGCTTGAATCAAGACGAAATCCGCTTAAATTAAGAGGCTTGGTTCTTGATTTAAGCTAGATTCTGATTGAATTAAGAGTACTTTTTCTTGTCGATGTTTTTAAGAGTCTGGCCTCTAGAGCCAATGTGTTTTTTTTTTTTTCCAGTGCGGCTTGACCGTCCTGGTCCCACGATGGCGGGAAAAATATAGGGATAGGCCGGCGGGCTCGGCCCCCCTTGCTCCCTTGGAAAGATCGGTTGTCTCGTTAGTCCCGCTGGGAGATGCGCGATTTTTCGTTATTTCCGGGCGCTTTTTTTCGGTCAGCTGATGATTCGACTGCCCGAGCCGTTTTTCGTCATATATCGCTATGCATAAGCTATGCATTCACGACTGCTAAAATGTCAAAGGAAATCGACAAGGCCAGCGTGCATGAGGGCTATTTCAATTGTAATCTTCCGTCGCATTTCTAAGGCGCAATGATACAACTATTTGAACTCTCCGGAATGCGTGAGGTATCACGCCGCATTTGAAGGCGTTTTCAAAACAGCCAAGTTCCGATACCCGGACTATCGTTTTGCATTGTTCATATTATTTTGTTATATTCCGTACCACCTGTTTATTTTTAATCCTCGTATAAAAACCACCCATTTGCTAAATACAATTCCAGCTGAAGCTCACTCAAGCTTTGCATTCACGACTGCTATAATGTCAAAGGAGATCGACAAGGCCAGCGTGCATGAGGGGTATTTCAATGGGCTTGTTGCACCAATTTTTTTTATTGCTTCAATCGAAAGAACTAAGGCTCCTGATGTCACAGGAATTTTCTCGGAGTTTTTTGATCATCGAAAATCCCCAAAAAATCAATTTAAAAACGCCTCAGAATTCGGATTTTCAAAACGGTCGTTTCGGGTCCGCCATTCTTGTGACGTGAAATGGTATGACAGACCTGGTTTCTTCATCACTTACTATGTATTTTCCCGTAAGGAAATGGCAGCCGCTTTTCAAATGCAAATATCGAGTCAATCGAT